ACTACACAAGCTCAGCAAAGATCCACTGTCTGTGTTAAAAAGTGAACCCAAATCCATTTTACACCCAGTCCCAGTCTGAAGCCAAAACCTGGTTTCTGCTCTCTGAGGATCAGTGTGTCACAGCTCGAACAGAACGAAGTGTCGAGGCAGAAAGAACGAGCGAGTCCGAGTGCAAAAACAGAGAAACAGTTTATTTTAGTAAATAGTGAGCTTTTCACTGCTGTACAACACTGGCATCTGTAGGTTGGCACACTTTAAAGGGACGATCCACCCAAAAACTGAACAAAACCGAAACAGCGTTCACACACATTACCGCCGCTGCGATGTCTGTACAAGCTCTGCTGCTGGACTCGTAACGGCTGCGTGCCCTGCTGGTCCGGGATCCCGTTTAATGCTTTCCCCCTTTCTTTTTTTGGACCATTAACCCGACAACAAATGTCATCAGGGACACGGGGGACGAGTAAAAGAAGAAGAAACAAAAAGGCACCGAAAGCCACAACAGACAGCCGGACAACTGAAAACTACACGGACATGCAACTCACATCGATTTACACAGAGCTAATATATGCATGCAAAAACAACACTGCTCTGAACACACACACACACGCACACACGCTACACATCAAAGGTTTCCTGGAAAGTACAAACGGCTCCTGAACGCACCACTCCACATCAGGGAGGCTCATTCACATCACCCCCCAAGCCCGACCCCCACCCCACCCCGGAGTCTCTCAGCACATCCTGCGATTCGTAACTGTAGTAAACTGTAGTGAAGTAACACGCCTAACAACGTCACGGTGACTCTAGAGCAGCCGTGGATGGGATGAACAGAATCTGGAAGTAAGCCTGTGTGAAATGTGCCACAGTGAGCAGACATACGTGCTCGTGTATGAATCCACCATCCAGAACGTGTTCAGCTTCCTGCGTCCTCCAGCCGATAAAATAAAAACACAAAATAATCAAATCAAATCTGAAGAGTTTAGAAAAACAACAGATGATTTCAATCTGAGACAAACCGACAAAGAGCTCTAGACTGACGTTAGGACAGGATGAGGACACGGCTTCTAGAGCCTAAGGAAAAACAACATAAGATCCTTCAACGGCATTTTCATCATGTGCATTCTGACGGGATATTAAAGATTCTAGATTCTCGTTTGGATCTGTGTGGGATCAGATTCTGAAAACAGAACCACAACAAGCCTTCAATTAGAACTCACACGTAAACCAGAACCAGAACCAAAAAAACCAGAACAGCTCTAGAGAGAAGTGACTCCAATCAGAGACAAATGTTTTCTAGAATCTGAAAACAAAAAGACCAAAAACAGCTTCAACGTTTTCCTCGCATCGCACAGAATCAAATGTGCAGGCTCCATTTTCTGCACGTAGGCTCTCGAATTAGTAAGGAAACTGTCGACACGCCTCCACGTGGCTTCCATTGATTCTGCAGCAGCCTGGAGTTTGGGCCTGATGTTGTTCCAGAGTCTCAAGTAAAGAATGATTCAACACAACACAAAGACTCTACAAGCATTTTTCTTTGAATGAAAATACACATTATAAAATCTATTTTAGTGCAATTCTGGAAACAGATTCTAGAATAAACTGTAAAAAGGATTTAAGATTTGTTCTAGACTCCGTAAAATATTCCAGCGCTGTTTGAGATCAAACCTGAAAATGTTCCACAGTTAAATGATTCTAGAATCTGACCGTCCAGAACCAACACAGAC